GCGCTGTTCAGATAAAGGTTTAATATCAACTGTTATAACTTAGTGGTGAGAGTCACCGCTCTTATCACCCAGGTTCAGGGATTAAATCTCTAGCTGTGAAAGGATAGAACTTATAAAGACTTGTTCTCCGTAAGATTTACCTACCGGATGTTGGTTCTGGTTGTACACACACAACTAGTATTAAAGATTATTTTGGTTAATGAGATGCACTTCTACCTCTGTCTGCAGCAACCAATTATATTTACCGTATCTCTTAGTGAAGCCTTGCTACTGTGGATAATAACACTGTAGAGTGTTCCTGGACCTTGATAAGTTTACTGACCTCAAGAGTGGTAAAATGTAGTAATGTTTGGAACACCGAGCAACGCAGGAGTGTTACCAACCTTGTCACTCGTGATTATATGTTTGTCAACAACCAGACAACGAGTTTTATTTATAAATGTTCGTCTTCATCACATGAGGAACCTAACCTCAGTTTTTGATGCTGAGTACATCTGCTCTTTGCAACACTTGGGATACATTACTCTACACAAAGGATCAGCTGACTTCCTCGTCCATGTACAGAATACTAATTTCTCTTCTAGGACATAGTGCTAATAAAGCTTTGTTTAAATTTTCCGGGAGTGAGAATTGGGTCCCTTGACGTCTGTGAAGAGCTCGTGATCTTATTAACTAGAGGTAATTTAGGCTTTCCTCTCGAATAAAAGATTACACCTTCCCTTCCTTCTCTTATACCCTTGGATATTTATAGCTTGCATTGTCATAGGTTCCTAATAGTCTCTCATAACCTATGATTTGTAGCTGACTAGGGATTATGGACCGCGACATAATTCCTTTGAATTGTTTTGATTACAGTGTGAAGATGATTATTGTAATGTGTCAACAGATTGGTAACGATAGCGGTAATGTGCTAATGAGAGGAAGTTGTTAGATAAGAGCAAATTGGCAATGATTGTAACAATTTGATAATGATTTTAGAAATCTTTCATGATTAAATTTCTGAATAGCTAATATGTTCGAGTGCTTTTTTAAATCAGTCAAATGAAAATCTTGGGAGTACTTCCCCTAATAATCTTCAGAATGCTTCCCTTCTCCTGTAGGCTGGTAGACAAGGAGGTACTGCCGTCCTGTCATATGAACGAGAAACATACACACAACAGTTAAAAGGGTGATGAAAATCAATCGTCCAGTGAAATATTACTACTATCCTCGCATATAACGTGAAAAGGAAGCCCGTTAAATTTTTTACACAGTGGGGCATCCACCGGGGGGATGGGAGGGGGAAGCTAAGGTTGGTTAAAGCCACCCCAGAAGTAATTTATATTTTTTTTTCTAATTAATGACTAATTTTTATTGCATACATTAACCCGAGGCCACACAAGAACGGTGGTTTAAGAAATTTCATATATACACACACTGAAAATCGTGTTTTGAAAGACGATTTCTTTTATTTTTCAGTATCTTATTAAGCCCCTAAGGCTGAAATCCCGGCTTAAACCTCCCCCTCCACCCGCCCCCTCCCCCTTCCCAGAATGACATTCTGGCTTCGCTACTCTTTGCACGCTTACACAATTGCTCAAATTTCTACCTGCTAAATTACTCCTTACTAGAACAAGAGGCTTGGCAGACGGTACAAAATATCTCCAGTGAAAACCAGGGGTGCAGTGAGTATATTAAATATATGTATATGTCTCAATAAGTGTAAAGGGACCAAGATTCTTCAACAAACTTCTTACACAAGGGGAAATATCATTAGGCCTCTAGATGGCTTCAAGAGGGAATTTCATAAGTTTCTTAAGTCAGTTCCTGATCAGCCGGACTGTGGTCCCTCCAGTGGACGGTGCACAGTGATTACCAGCAGCCAGATAAATCAATCAACCATGGAGAAAAGCCCCCTGGAATTGTCTACAGGTAAACAGGTTATGTGTGTCCCCTTTTCGTCTCCGCGTTCTCCTTCCTAGCTCCTGCGCCTCTTTCATCCAAATCCTACACGCTCATCTTTTTAACTATTTTTCTCGTCCACTTTTAAAGAAATGTTGTTAGTGCTCTTGGTTTTACTATTTCGGATTCCATGCTACAATGTTTATCCTTTTGCACTTCGGTTTCCATTACCTTTTCATCGTAAAAAAAAAAAAGAAGCACGGAACGGGGTGGGATTAAAACCCATGACAAGCGAGTTGTAAAATTCCAGGACAGCGTAGTGTGCTCTTTTTTCTTCATGATCTGACTTGACACCTTCAATATTGCCTTTTTCCTAGCTTCATCACCAGCTCCCTTCTTACTCGCACTTTAATATACCGCTTTCTGCTGCAATCACTTATTTCCTCCTGTGTCACAGGCCTCTTCCTCGGGTTCACTTTCTCTTAACCACTAAACGTTCAGGCCATCAACGTTACACACGATGCTCCTGAGGCTCAGTGGGCTTAATCGCCTCATTTGCGACGCCAGCCGACAAGTGTAAAGTCTATTTGCCTATATACTGTGCTTGCTTGTTTGCCTCCTGACTATCTACTTTCTTTCGTACTTTTATGCCTACCATCTTATCTACCCTCTTATCTACACTTATGTTGTTTTTTTTTAATCCTCTCTTTAACGGACCAGCCACAGACCAGGTCTCCTGTTTGAAGGAGGAGGGCACCACCAAGCTGCTCCTGCTGGCTGCACTGCAGTTTAACTACAGCCCGACTGGTCAGGAATCGATGTGAGGAACTTACCCAGTTCTCACCTGGTCTGTGCCATAAATTCGTTATACCCTGTTCTTAAATTAATTTTTTGGTGGTGGAGATTTAATTGATCTTGAAGGTGTCTGAAAACCTTCGGTAGTGATTGATTCAGAGTAAGAACCACTAGATAGAGCATGGTGGCCTAATTCCGCTTGTGAAGGTAAGCATCGTTTATGGGGTAATCGGGTCATCACTTATCTAAATACGGTGACAGGCACGAGGTTACCAATCGTTTGCCCGGTCATTATTAAAATTGGGTGTGTGGGTGGATAACCCACATGGTTAAAGAAGTCACGTAGACCTTCCAAGAACAAGAATTATTAATGGACTCCTGTCTTTAAGAGGGAGCATGACGGGTTCCTGATCGGCAGGGCACTGATGCTTACATTACAGACTGTTTGGGCTGTCAGCAGGCCAGGAATTTGCCCGGAGTCTGCTTCGCCGTCTTTTTACGAACTTTCCTTCAGCCTTGCTTGGTTATCTAGGCTACAGCGCTTGCAGAGCGGAAAACTTTTTATAAGTTTTTATGTAGTTGACTAGTTATGTGTACTGTGTACCTGATGGATTTTCTGTGTATTATCGCTACAGCTGCCCAGTTTCTTGACCATGCTCTCTGGTTGGCAGTCTAGTCAGTCAGGCTGTTGGTGTTTCCGGCACACAAGCTGTCGTAGGCACTACAGCCAAGATATGAATGAACAATACACAAATAACCCGCACATAGAAGAGAGGAGCTTACGAAGACGTTTCGGTCCGACTTGTACCGACTTGGACTTTGTAAATGGTGATGATTGAGACACTTATGCAGCATATGGGAATCTTTATTCAGGAAACGTTTCGCCACACGTGGTTCAAACAGTCCATACAAAGAGAAGGCCTAAGGAGAGGAGGTGAATGTGGTAATCAGTCCCTCAACCTGGAGTCGATGTGTTCAGTCCATCAATCTTGTAAATGGTCCAAGTCGGACCGAAACGTCGTCGTAAGCTCCTCTCTTCTATGTGCGGGCTATCTGTGTATTGTTCCAGTCACGGTGTTGTCCCTTTTTTTTGTTATATATGAATTTACAGATTGCAGGAGTTTGTCAATCAGGCTGTGATGAATATGTGGGCTAGCGGACCGCCAGCAGCAACAGCCTAACCATACCACGGGCGGGATTTGAACCCGCGGTCAGAGAGTCTCAAAACTCCAGACCGTGTTAGCCACTGGACAGCAACAGCCTGGTTGACTATGCAAGCACCAGAGAAGCTTGGTCCAGGGCCGAGCTCCAGGAGTAGAAAAATTCCCGAAATTCATCAAAGATATATCAAGGGTATATTTACCACGCTATAAGACTTGGTAATGGGTCTCTAAAATATTTTTTAAGAATGGGTAATGATGTCTTAATTACCAGTGCAGCACTAAGTCGTGTTTGGTGAAATTCCAATAATTTAGATGTTGGAATCTATGCGAACAGTGAAAGTTTTCTTCACATTTTCCATAACAGCCATTTCGTCTTCTGCAATATTTCATTTAAGACAGCAACACTGAGGAGTTTGAATGATAAGGAAGCAGGAAAGAAATGCCAAGAATAAATCTACCTAGAGAGTTTTACTAGGGTCAAGGTTTTCCTGCCCGGTCCCAGACCAGGCGTTTCGGTGGATGGCGTGATCAACCAAGGTGTTGGTCCTAGCCGCAACGAAGTCCATTGTAAGCATCACAGCTCGGCTGAGGAGGGGCCGACTTGAGAAGCTTGTCCAGTTCTTCTCAAAGACAGCCAAAGGGCTATTGGTAATCCCCCTTATGTATGAAGGGAGGACATAGAAAAGTCTTCGTTTCTTCATCCCAAGATTATGGAGAAATGGTGGACTATAAAGCGGCTCAGTAATGTTAATGTTAATGAGGTCAAGTAACAAAATGGTAATTCAAGGAGGGATTTCCATTCCTGCTTTCTCCATGGTAGTACTTCCATAGGTCTTCTCAAAAAAAAAAAAAGTACTTAAAGGTTGCCTGAAAATGGTTTCATGGATCATAGATCAATATCTGTCTTTGAAAACTTGTCACATTCAAAGAGTTAGCAGGGCTACTGGTTAAAAAATAAACGCACGCGCAGAACATATAGTCATAAATTAGACAAAATAATACTTTTTCTAAATACATTTTGACGGTTACAAAAAATACAATTATTGTTGAGACATGTATGTATATATTTACTGTCATAGTGAGAAATTTTGACAAGTGCCTGCACCTCAAGATGACAAAATACCTGAATTCCAAGGTCATCCACCACAGACCTGTGTTTGCAGGGGGTCAACTCTTCAAGTCTTCTCTCCAGGCTATGATGCTGCTGTAAGGTCACTGAACTCTGTCTTCCTCTCATATCGTTCATTTGTTTCACTTGAATTCCCTCACTGCCGTGTGAACTGTATAAATTTAGTATCATTTCTGCAAACAACTTATATTTATTTAAATAAGTAATAGTTACTACTTATGCGTTGCACTTATGGGATATATTTAGCAATTCTTATGGGATATATTTAGAAGTCCGTATACGAGTAGATTGCTAATAGTTGTTAGCGGTCCTTGTAGCTGGAGTTCTTTAGCTGGAGTATAAAGAGCCTTTATGTGTAGCATACTCCAGGGTGGAGAGCTCTTAGGTTTCGTTTAAATAAAGCATTTTTACCACCTTATTTGACATAGTTCGTGATTTATTGCTAATACCACTTGGAGTGTCTTATTCTGAGGTTATTAAAGCTGAAACTACTTCCCTATCATATACTTTACGGTCTTGTAGAATATACGATAATGCCTGTTGAAAATACTAATGTATGGTTCAAGGTATTATTAAGCGATGTAACTACAGGCAACAGGTATCAACTTTTCCTGATTATTAGAAGCCCATGTGAGGTGAAATTACTGTATAATTATATTCCAGGATAAAACCTAAATTCGTAGGGGTCATAATGTGTCCGAGAAATGAGAAGTAATGAGGATTGTTATAATGCTGAAGAACCCTGCCGAAGAGTCCTGAGTTATGAAAAGTCCAATGAGAGGTTCCAGACATGTTTCATATTCCTTTAGATGGCATAGTTAAGAGATTCTTCGAATCCTCCTAACCCCTTAACATGAAGTTCAGTGCATTTTGGGTAACCTTGAGTTTTTCATCGCTATTAGGCATATGGAGTTGGATGGTGTGTATGCGGAAGCGGTAATTGGATGCGTTATGAGTTTAATTGTGTTGCCAGTGACTTGGGGCGAGGGTCATGAGAGTTAGTCATGCTGTTGCGGATGTTACTGTGGCCCACCATGGGAAAGGTGGATGGGTAATTACCTCAGAGAGAGAGAGAGAGAGAGAGAGAGAGAGAGAGAGAGAGAGAGAGAGAGAGAAACCTTTATGATGCGATGACATCTGATGTAAGCACCCTTTAGATTTGTAAGATATTGAAAACTCCTAGGCTTCCATCAACCATCACAGTACGAATTGAAACACAAAGGTTATTGTGAACACTTGATTGGAGGCCTGATCTACTGCTGAGCCTTAGGGAGCAACAATCCCCAGAACCATTAAGAAATAACATATGGGACAGTCCCTTAAACCATTCACTGAAGCACAGGTGAGGAAGATATAAAATAATTTACACGTGGAAGATGCTGGCATGAATAATTAAAAAATAGCATGCTGAAGTAATACCTAACAATAATGGGAAACATAACAGACTTACCTATCTACTTGATGACTGCATGATGGTTTTGAGGTCGCAGCCCCTGCTGCTTGGTCTCGGACCAGGCCTCCTGTTTTAGTGTGCAAGGAAACAAAACACAAACGTGCTGTAACTTAAAAGCATATTCAACAGCCTCCCATCAAACATAGGACGAATTATCAGCAGACCTTTAATTGTCTTCAAGAAGAAACTTGAGTTTCTGTAAAACGTTTCAGATCAGCCAGGTTGTGGTTCTGTAGTCGGCCAGCTTGTAGCGAGAGCTAGCAGACTCAGTTATCAGTCTGTCAACAGGAAGACTTGGTTTATGACCGTATTATTATTTTCACTAGTTAGTATGTTATTTGCTGTGAATAATATACTATCATTGGAGGTGACTGCGATGAGAGCAGTGTATCTGGCTTACCTACGGCGACTTGACCCCCGTGCCACTACTCAGGAGAAAGTGAGTGGATGAAGGTGACGGCTGGTGAAATTCTTACTCAGCTGACACGTTCATTGTCGCATTTCTTAGTCTTTTTGGCTATACTGTACATGCTGGAGCAATAGGTATAACAGCTGCGTGAGTGAGCGAGCGTTCAAAGTGTTAGTTGGGGTATCGCTGGCATTTATATAAGTAACAAACAGGAAGTGTTGTTTGGAGCGCTGCATGTGGCAGTGGTGACCTTGAGCCCGTCTAGCACCACGTCAGTCTTGTCGTCTCATTGTTCACTCACACTGCTTCAGTCCTGTAAGGTATTCGCTCACCAGGATATTAAGACACCAGTTGAAAATAAAAGTGCTTGTTCAGATCAGTGGGCAACCTTTGTACTGCATGTAATTAAAACTCATTTATCTGGAGAGGTTTCCGTTAATAATAATAATAATAATAATAATAATAATAATAATAATAATAATAATAATAATAATTGAAAAAGAAAAACAGCATTTTCTTTAGGAAGATTAAACAAGTTTATTCAGGCATAGCTCGGCCTTGTAGTCTGCAAAGTACCATTTAATTTAGTTTTTTGTATGTTTAATTTAATATTTAAGGGTTTGGGCTCGCACATTCAAGGTAACATAAACAAGTGGTCTGATGATCATCAACCTTTCAGCTACTTGGATGATTTTCCCGCCAAACGTTAGTTCAAAGGCGCGCTCTCGCGGCCATTCCTAGAAGCTGTAGTTGTCTTTGCTGCCAATAGATGGCGCGGAATGACCACTGAAAACACCCACTTGCCCAACACGTGACCTCCAACGTTTCAACACAATTTTTTGAATATGCAGTGCGTAGAACCGTTAATGTTAACTCAACCCTCTTTTGACACGAGGAAATAAGTACATAAGAACAAAAATGCACAATTATGTAGTTCCTATATACAGTTTAGATATGTGATATTTTATGTATCAGTTGGAGTTTTTGTGTGAATACGAGTCTTGATGCATGGTTTTATTTCCCCTGAGGAAATGACATTAAATACACTAAATAAATTTCACTTTTTCGCCAGATCAATGTCAGCTGACACGAGCAGAGGAATGCCCGTGTCAGCTGGCACATGGAGAGAGGATGCCAGTGTCAGCTGACACGAGGGAGAGAGACAGTGTCAGCTTTTACACTAGAAAGAAAGGTAGCAGTATCAGGGGATCACGAACCAGGATTCTGGCCATATCAGGAGGTAAATGGAGGCTACGTGAGGTCAAAGGTCCTGGTAGGATAAACTGAAGGACTCTTTGATGCTGTGGATGAGGAACTTACCGTGTGGGAGAGGTGGAGGGTTACTGTAATGGTGGTGAGGGAAGTAGTGGCTGTAATGTTATGGTGTTCTCTTGATTGAACAACAGTTATTATTGGAAACGGTGAATGAACCGAAAACATTTGAAATTCATACCGTCATTTATAAGGAGGTGGGCACCAACAGCTTGGTCGATCAGGCCAGCAACCGGGAGGCCTTGTCTGGGACCGGGTTGTATGGTCAGTGACCCCCTGAAAATACTGCAACTAACATACGGGTTTTTCCCTTAGGTGTTTTCAAGGTAGCTCCTCAGGTTAGTTCCTGATCAGCTGGGCTGTGGTGCTTACGTTGGACTGTACTGACACCAACAGCCTGACTGATCAGGCCGTCAACTAAGAAGCCAGGCAGCAGGGGCAGTAACGTCCGGAATTGTCAACATTTAGGTAGGGAGAGGGAGGAAGAAAATGGAAAATGAAGTAGGTTTATTAATTTCAAGATTTATTTTTTCATAAAATTTTAATGTAAGGTATTGTTGGATAGGATACTTTCCATGATCACCTTAATGTGATTGATCTATATCTCTATTTAGGTGTATTCTAAATTCAGCTTTTCTTTTGCAGATTAGCGAGAGCTGTGGCGCGTCCTCGTGAAGGTGAGCCACTGATGAGGGTGCTTGACTAGTGTGGCTACCTACCAACCTCCAGGTAGGTAGGTAGCCACGTTGTGAGGAAGAAAAGGCAAGAGTACAGAGTAAACTTTTATTGTGACGGCGTTTCACTGTACACAGAGCTTGGTCAAATCATTCGCTGACTTAAAAGCTCTGCGTAGAATGAAACGCTCTCACAGGAAAAGCTTACTCAGTACATGTGTCTTTTCTTCATTACTGTCAGCAGTACGAGATTACATGCAGACTGGGATGTTAGGTGGGCCAGCGGGTTGATCTGGTGGTCAACAGGGATGTACAGTCTCAGGTCGAGCTGCGAGAGTAGAAGAAAAACAATCGAAATCATTCACGGTATTTTCCTCCTTACTGGAAGTAGGTAGGTAGAATGTTTTATTACGTGGCAGGAAATCCTAGAAATGATTTGGTTGCATCAAGACTATTAAGACCCATGCAGGTCAGTACTCTTAATTTAGAAAAAAAGTCTCCATATGCTTGAAAAACTGTTTAGATAATTTAGATGAATCTAAACATTTCACATCCTACAGTTGTCTGTTTCACCTGAAGTGTGTATTTATTAAAACAGATTGTTGAAAACTCTGTTCAATACACGCAGTAACCATGTAGTTATTTTTTTTTTTTTTACTGAGTAGTACTGTTAGTCGACTTGTGAGCAGGAGATAGCGTGTTGACGGTAGCATGATTAACACTGTCATGATGGGTTAGTCAGGAGTAGCGTGAGAGTTAAGCACTGGAGTTTTTTTTATTTGATGAGTAGTGGTCGTGTCTTGTCGTAAGCAGCCCCTTTGTCGTCCCTCATGTGCTGATCTCTGCATGTTTAGTTGCCTGCTTGTTCCTGCTGACTACTCTCTACCTTTCTTACTCTTCCTCTGGTCTAGTAGGTTCATCCACTGGACGTCACCTGTATATAGGAGCTGTCGAATAATAATAATAATAATAATAATAATAATAATTGTTAACAAAAAAAAAAAAAACGCTATATCCTTATGCATCATCTAACTTTTAAAAGCTATTTACCCAGTAAATCTCGTAACCGGTGACAGGTATGTAACAAATGTGGACCAGCTGTAGGATACCTGAAGGACGTTTTCGGGGGTCAGCGCCTCCGCTGGTCGGTCTCAGACCAGATCTGCTAGTGGATCAAGGCCTGATCAATCAGGTTGTTACTGCTGGCCGTACGCAGTCCAGCGTATAAACCACAGCTTGATTGGCCAGAAACTAATTTGAAGAACTTGTCTGCAGTTGGAATCTCATAATGAGGTCAGTAAGGGGAAATCCAGAGACGGCCTCAGAAAAGCAACCACCGGAAATTGGTTTGATTTTCGACTTCTATACTCGTTAAGAGTTTTGTCTAATCTTTTGTATTAAATAATAGTATAATAAAAATATCTTCATTCGTTTCTTGATTATAAAAATAAACACAAGTTCTTTTTCATTTGGCAAATCGCATTAATTTTTTTCGTATAAATTATACTTGTCTGTTGTGTAGATCATAAGTTTCCTTCTCTTTGCTGGAGGACTGTGACTTACACGTGGTGGGGTTAGGTTACCTTGTGTTTACTTGAGTCATGTTTCTCTCACCGCAACTTTCTTTTAACCAAGGTATACACAGCAGGATACAATCCAGCAGACACTTCATCTTCTAGTAGGATATTGGTTTTCAGGCAGAATAATGTAGGATTCGTCAAATACCCGGTAAAGATTCTTCACAAATTAATTACTTTATAAACTTTAGGATTAAGTTCTCTCATGACTCACGAAATCGTAATGACACGATTGTAAACAAACCATACCACGAGCGGGATTGAACGCGACGGTCTGGATTTTTTGAGACTGACCGCGGGTTCAATCCCGCCCGTGGTATGGTAAGTTCTCTCATTTTATTCTGCTTTGGATAAACGTTATAGGTACAAAGTTTATTCTTTATAACTTTGATTTACTTTTTTAGTAAGACCATCACCTCGATACTTATAAGTTTTAATGATGGTATTGATAAATTCCTTCAAGGTCCACGTGGTCACCAGTAGGTGTAAGTGGAACAGGAAGCGCATTGCTTCCAGGAAGGACAGGGAGAGCAAGAACTTCTAAAAGTAAATTCCGGGTAACTTTTATGTCATTTTATGGGTTTCTTATTTAATAAAGTGTTGACTTATTTATAAATATATTACACAAAATGATTTTAGCAGGTTATTATGAGTTTACGTTTATCCACCGATCACAAGTATTGTCTTGATCCCAGGCCATCTTCCACCTATCTTCTACAGTAACTGACCCACTTATCAGTCTACAGATTAGCGACCCTAACTATATTATCCATGAACGAGTCTCAAAACGCCCTGACATCTCCACACTTTCTGATGTATTCTCCCCCTAGTTAACTTCGAAGAAGCCAAGACAGCATGTCCAAGTATTCTGCCCTAGGTCCAGACTCGTGGAACATCATTTTCACCAAAAATTGCAAGAAACAATTATCTCGGGCCTCTAATATTCTATAGAGGAACCTGGACACATATATAATCCCAAACACTAAAAACCACCAATATTACTCCATTTCACAAGGGGACAGTACAGCAATCGCAAAAAAACTATAGACAACTATAGACCAGTTGCGCTAATTTCACACGGTTTCAAAGTCTTTGAAAGGGTCCTAAGTAGTAAGATTGACAGTCACATGGAATCACAATAATTGCTCAAACCAGGGCATCACACTACAGGACTGCCACCCGGTCCTGGGGCTAGGACCGGGTCGCAGGGGCGTTGGCCTCGGGAAATATCCTTCAGGTATCTTCAGAATCCCAGCAGCCCAATCACAGCCCGGGTTTAATCATCCAGGCTGTTGGTACTGTCCACACAGTTCCTGATCAACCACAGCCCAGTTGATTAGGAACTGACTTTAAGAACTTATCCAGCTTCCTCTTGAAGACAGGTAAGGGGTCTGTTAGTAATGCCCCTTAAGTATGAAGGGAGTATGTTGAAAAGCTTTGGACCCTTTACGCTTATTGAGTTATCTCTTAGTTTATTCTCTGGAGTACAATGAGTGCACTGAGAGATGATCTGGGACTAGTCCTCCAGAATTCTCTTGGTATTAAATTATGATTTATCTCTCTTACCTTCGTGTCCATTTTATGCTTCTCTATCGACCACCTGCGTACCTTAGTTGCGTTTTACATGTGCACTGGAGTAGGAGACACTCGAGTAAGTAGGTGAGTCATAGGTGGAGTTCGGTAGTGTTACACCGGACAGGTAGGTTTGCTCCTCTATCTGCCTGTCTTGCTCTTAATT